CTAATCATCGGCCCCGCCCATGATTAGGCCCCGCCCCTAGGCCCCGCCCCTCGTCCTCCGCTGCCCCGCGCGCCACCCGAGTCGCTGTTCCGGATCCCGCAGTGTTGCGGCTGCGGGAGCCGCCGGCTCGCCGCCCCCGCGCCTGCACCTGTGCCCGCAGGTGTCGTGCGCCTCGCGTAGTGACAGTCCTCCGGCTGAGGAAGCCTGCCCGGGAGCACCCATGTTGCGCACAACGGCGCTCCCTGGCCTCGTTGCTCTTCTCCCTGAGCACCTACTTCCCAGGTGGCCGGGCGCGCGGGCCCTCAGCCCCATCAGAGCCCTCGGGAGACAAAGGGAGTCGAGCTGGAGTAGGCTCGCTCTCCGAGGACAGGGCGCTCGACGCTAGGGCCAGCCTCAGGGGCGCGGTGTCTATCACAGGAGATGAGTGAATGCATCACAGTGCCCACCACCCTGTCCGAGGGCAAGCAGGCCCTGCAAATGAGGGAAGGGCACCTGGCATTGCCTCCACCCCGGGTCTTAGACATCCCCAGGAATTTCTCTTTGGATAAGGAGGATTCTTCTCCATTATAGGAAAGACAGCAAGGTGAAATGGTGATAAATGGCTTTGACCTACATCCTCTGTGAAAGTCTCAGAAACTCAGGAGCCTGGGGAACGGTGCCCAGCTGAAGCCCCAGCTCATGGTTTCAGTGGGGAAACACAGGCCCAGCAAAGGCAGGCACGGAAGGATGTACTGGCCTCAGATCAGGGCCCAGCTCCTCCAGGAGCGAACAGCCTGGTCCTGTCCCAGGTGGAGGACATAGCTGGAGAGAGGACCCCACTGTCAAAATCCAAAACAAACAGAGACCAACCTTGCAAACTCCCTGAACAGACACCACCAGTTTGGTCATACCAACGAAGCTGAAGGTAGCGGACTTTGCAAGGCTAAGTTGACCCAAGTCATTTCTTGCTGTGCCTCTGAAAAATCAGGAGCAAAGCTTACTCTCTTTTCTGAGGTTGATGTGAAACGGCCACTAGCCATTTCCATCGCTTAGGAAAATTCTGATATGAAAACCAATCCCTGTGGAGAATGAACACTGTGCTTTCTCACCATAGAAGCTGCTCTTTAAGGACACCCCCCTGAGCCCCATTCCGTGTTTTGGTTTGAGTGTTCCCGGCTTTGCCAACCGTCTTTTTGGCGTATACACAACAAACTCAATCATGACGGCTTTGGCCATTCGTTGGTTTTATTTACTTCTGTTACATAGGGACTTTTGACGTTTCATGGTGTCAGAAGTGGGATTCAAACAGAAGACAGCCCCCCACCCCCACCCCACACACAGACCCCGAGGCTGCTGAGCAAACAGACCCTGGCACCCACAGAGCCCACTGAGCTCACCACTTTCTTGTCGACCCTGAAGAGTGAAGGTGAGTCTCTCGAATCTGAGCTCTCTCTCTTAGGTTCTAAGCTGCCCAACTTTATTGTGCATGCCTGCTCAGATGGCCAGTGTTTGTGTGCAAGACTCTCTATTTGCATCCTGTAAGGACCCTTTTGGAGCTGTGTTTTGGAGTCATTTTGTCCTTTAGCAGCTTCTATTTGCCAATCAAAGAATGCATTCCATTTTCTCTCTCTTGTTTTTGAATAAGGTATGAAGGAGATGGGTTTTTGTTATTGTTATTGTTTTTTTTGTGTTTTTTTTTTTGGTTTGGGTTTTTCTTTTTGGGGGGAGGGGTAAGGGAGAAAGGAAGTAATTTTGTCTTGAATTAAAATGATTGTTCCAGAATAAGAAGGGAAAAAGATAGGACAAGATCTAAATGGTTAAAGAATGTTGCAGGTTTGTGGAAAGAGATCTTGAAAAAGGAATTTAATGTGTAGTCAAGCTAAGATTGGAATGGATTTATTTAACTTAAAAAAAAAAAAAAGGATTTTAGGAGAGCCTGGCTGGCTCAATCAATGGAGCATGCCACTCTTGATCTCGGGGTTGTGAGTTCAAGCCCTGTGTTGAGCGTGGAGCCTACTTAAAATTTAAAAAAAAAGGGGGGGGGCGCCTGGGTGGCTCAGTCGGTTAAGCGTCTGACTTCAGCTCAGGTCACGATCTCGCGGTCCATGAGTTCGGGCTCTGGGCTTATGGCTTAGAGCCTGGAGCCTGCTTCCAATTCTGTGTCTCCCTCTCTCTCTGCCCCTCCCCCGTTCATGCTCTGTCTGTCTCTGTCTCAAAAATAAATAAACGTTTAAAAAAAATTTTTTTTAAAGAATTTTAATATCAAGAGTACATGGTACAAAATTAGAATTTGGTTTCTGCTGTTAAAATCACAACATTTTTTTAGATTATCAGTCTGCCCCTAACAAGAAATTGTAAACAAAGGTGTTTCTGTACTTTTAATGTATTTTGCCTGCAAAGCAAAGATTCTGTATTTTATGAAAATAATTTCATGTGCTTTGTCCTTGCCAAGTCTTGGATTAGGTAGGAAAATAACTGAGTCCTCTGTATTAAAAGAACTGAGTTTCATTTTTGCAACTCTGTAACTTTCTGTACCTGCCTGTGAAATTTTAATTGTCACTTGGTAGGAATGAATAACTAAGTACTTTACTGTTTTCACAATGAACTCTGATCCTATTTGATCACGTGTTTTAAACCTTTGGATATTTTTGACAAATTTCTCACATATCAAATTCTAAATGAAGTCCTTTTAACCCCAAACTAACTTTGGGATTTTAAAAAGGATCCCTAGACTATCTCAAAAGATTTGTTCCCTCTCCTTATAAAAGAGATGCTGAACTAATTATGTTTTGTTACATTCCATGGGAAGCATTGTCAAATAAAGAATGAAGTCTTTAGCTGATATCTGTATAAATATATGTTAGTAATAAAAGCATTCCAGAAATTCCATGAAATTCTTGAAGTCTGACATGTCCTGCTATAATGTTATCAGTCATAATTCAGGTTATTGTTTTAAAATATATGTCACATAAAATAACCAAATTTCTGGGGCTTCTGGGTGGCTCAGTCAGTTGAGTATCCAACTTCAGCTCAGGTCATGATCTCAGGGTTTGTGAGTTCGAGCCCCACATCAGGCTCTGTGCTGACCTGCTTCAGATTCTGGGTCTCCCTCTCTCTCTGCCCCTCCCCTGCTTGCTCTTTCTCTCTCTCTCTTTGTCTCTCTCAAAAATGAACATAATTTTTTTTAAATAAGAACCAAATTTCCTTGTCAAAGGCATTATAATGAACTCTCACTACATCTTTAACCATGGCCATTTTTAAGCCTTTTGCCATTTACAGACACTTACTGTTTTATTCTGATGCTTTCACAAAAAACGTTCCTGCAAAAATGCTTCCTTTACAAAGACATTCATGGGAACAACCCTAACAATCAGTCCAGAATGCAGGTTCCCTGAAAACCTCAAGACCATAGCACTGAACTGAGTGAGGATTTCTGAAACTTTAATGGAAAACTGATTGAGTCGTAAAGCCGCTAACTCAAGATGAAGCAAAACAATTTTGTTAATTACAAAACACTGAACAAACTGATAGAGATGACTGTAATTTGGACGACTTCATTTACAACGTTGCTGGTTCTTTAATGTCTTGTTTTCCAGATGTAAAGGATCCTTTTTCTCCTCTTCTGAAGTTATCTATGACTCACAACAGTTTGGTAAAGTGTATCTGCGACAAAGGTTGAAACGTTTTTCTTCCCCCTCCCCCCATTCCTCCAGAAATTAGAAACTCTTGCTATTCTCTTTTTAAATTGTTTTATTTTTTAATTAAATACTCTTATTTTTCATGACAATATGTGTGTTTGCATAAGTTTAAAAATAATCTGTTCTCCCTATAACAACACAAAACTGGCTTGGCTTCCTGGCCTGGAGATGCTTTTGAAAGTCTAATCTGAGTTCCTTTATGAAATATTCCAGCAAAGTAGATTTAAAAGCACCTATAAGGGGCGCCTGGGTGGCGCAATCGGTTAAGCGTCCGACTTCAGCCAGGTCACGATCTCGCGGTCCGTGAGTTCGAGCCCCGCGTCAGGCTCTGGGCTGATGGCTCGGAGCCTGGAGCCTGTTTCCGATTCTGTGTCTCCCTCTCTCTCTGCCCCTCCCCCGTTCATGCTCTGTCTCTCTCTGTCCCAAAAATAAATACACGTTGAAAAAAAAAATTTAAAAGCACCTATAAGGGGGTGCCTGGGTGGCTCAGTTGGTTAAGCATCCAACTTCGGCTCAGGACATGATCTCATGGTTCACGGGTTTGAGCCCCTCTTCAGGCTCTGCCTTGACAGTTCAGAGCCTGGAGCCTGCTTCGGATTCTGTGTCTCTGTCTCTCTTTGCCCCTCCCCTGTTCTCTCTCTCTCTCTCTCTCTCTCTCTCAAAAACAAATAAATAAACATTTTTGAAAAGCACCTATGTGATCAATCACTATTCCTGTGTACTTATGTAAATAATCATACCAAGTATTTGGAAACAGTCTTAATTTGCAAGCAAATTAGTCTTACTGTGGTTATCTTTGATAGACAGGGGATGATTACAGAGAGAAAAATAGGCTTCGATAATACATCTTTGTGGATATCAGATTCTAGTGCTGTTTCTTGTCTCTGAGATTTTGTTTTCTACCTGTAATCTGGACTGCATCCTGAATTCTTCCAGTTTCCTCCAAACTTTGGCTAGAATTTTCCAAACTAACATTTCCAATTCTCCCAGTCTCTGGACTTGGAATCTTTATGAAACTAAAACCATCCTTTGCCCAACGCTGGACAACTCGATATCAACTTCGGAGAGCTCAGCACAACAGCTCGTGTGTGGACGGCGACCCGTGCCTGGGGCCGTGTGACTGCTTGGAAAGATCCCCAGGCACATTCATGCCGCAAGCCAGAGAAACGGGTCAGATCACCACTGCCCTGCTCTCGCCTCATCTGAAGAGTCTCCAACCCCGACGTCTGCAAACTCAACTGGCCGCTCTCCAAACTCAGAAACTGAATTTGTAATTTGCTTGAAGTATTAACCTTTTTCTTTTGTTGCCGTAGAAATCTCTGTCGTTAAACTACCCGCTCGCTCGTGTCGTATAGAGACCTGATTTAGATGGAGCCCAACTGAGGCACTGGCCAACACCCTCAAGTTCACCCTGTCCTAAGCAACTGTTGGGCGATGCGACTGTTAAGACATTATGCGTGCTTTTGAAAAATAACTTAAAAAAAATATAACGCATTTAATGTATTTGAATTGTGACATCTTCGCTCCTGGGAACCTCGGCTCCGGGGAACTTTTCAGTCCTCAGGTATTGCTGCCCTTACGGTCACCATGCTGGCCTCTCCAGTACCTTGTACACTCTCCAGGGTTTGAAATGCGGTAGGCAGCTCCTGGTGTGCCGAATGGTACCCATTAGGACCAATCCCCTGGATGAAATCAACAAGAACCACAGAAATGATGGAGACTGAGACCACGGCCCTTGGGCCTGAGGACTCAGCAAATCTGAAGGTGAGGGAACCCCACTGACAGAGCCACCAGAAAGGGGACCCCTCTGTCAAAATCCAAAACAAACAGAGACCCACCTTGCAAACTCCCTGAACAGACACCGCCAGTTTGGTCATACCAACGAAGCTAAGGTAGCGGATTTTGCGAGGCTAAGTTGACCCAAGTCATTTCTTGATTGTGCCTCTGAAAATCAGAGCAAAGCTTCCTCTCTTTCCCGAGGTTGATGTGAGAGGACCGCTAACCAATTCCCTGCCGTTTAGGAAAATTCTGATGCGAAAACCAAACCCTGTGGAGGTTGAACACTGCTTTCTCACCATAGAAGCCGCTCCCTAAGGACACCCCCCGAGCCCCCTTCTGTGTTTTGGTTTGAGTGTTCCCGGCTTTGCCAACTGTCTTTTTGGTGTATACACAACAAACTCAATAATGACGGCTTTGGCCATCCGTTGGTTTTATTTACTTCTGTTAGGTAGGGATATCTGGCGCCTCCCAAGTCACGTGGCCCGCCAGCCCACCAACGCCACCCCCCCCTCCCCAGCACTAGGATGGGAGGCCGAGCCCCTTGACCGTTCCTGGGTCCGTCTTGCAGAAAAAGCGAGCTGCCCCAACGAGGCTGCACGTCTGAGTTCCGGACGAAGAGCGGAGGAAACTCGCCAGGGCTCTGGGGGCGACCACAGGCCTCCCGTGGGCACGGCTGCACCTGCTGAGGGGCGTTCAAGAGCCTCAGTTGCCTTGTGGGGGGGATTCTAGGAAACAGGCAGGAGAAAGTGCCAGGAAGTTTGTGGGCCTGTGGTCCACGGTTAGCGCCGCAGCGTGGCTTGGCATTCAGGAAGCCGCCTGGAGAAATGGGCCTCTTCCTGAGCGACCTCGTTCTCACTGGGCGTGCCGGGCCTTGGGGGCTAACCGGGCACACGGGTGTTTGCTGACCGCCTCAACACCGGCCCATCGCTCCAGGGTCGATCCCCCACCCCCGCCCCGATGTCCCCTCGGATGTGCAAGGGGCCTCCTCAGAGGAAAGCTGGGGCTGCCGGCCCCTCGGGTTGTGAACGATTTGGTTCCTCGCGTCCACTTTCCCCTATCTGGACCTCAGCGTCTTCTAGAACGTTTGGTTTCTGAGAGCAGCTCCGAGGTTCTCCCACATCAGCTCCCCGAAGGCAGGAAGAGCCGGACCCTGGGCGGCTGGGACGAGGTGGAGGGTGCAGGTGTGACCCGGGCACTCCTCACTGCACAGTCCTGGCCTCAGTTTCCCCAACTGTAAAACGGGCTCAGTAAAATAGAAGGAAGGTGGGTTTTTCAATGAGTCATGTAGAAACAGCGTGACGACCATTTGCAAAAAGAGGTCCTCACCGCACATCAGTATTGTACATTTCCAATGGACCAGAGACCTGACGTTTTTAAGAAGAAGCCGGTAAGTGATGAAAACCTTCTGGAAATGGGCTGTGGAAACGCTTGCACAACAACGAGAACGTACTGGGTGCCACTCAGCTGTGTGCTTAAAAGTGGTGAAAATGGAAATCTTGGGGCGCCTGGGTGGCCCAGTCAGTTAAGCGTCCGACCCTTGGTTTCAGCTCGGGTCATGATCTCACAGTTCGTGAGTTCACACCTCACGTCAGGCTTTGCAAGGACAGCCCGGAGCCTGCTTGGGATTCTCTCTCTCTCTCTGCCCCTCCCTGCTCTCATTCTCTCAAAATAAGTAAATAAACTTAAAAAAAAATAGTAAACGTTATAAATATCTTCCTGCAATAAAAAATGAATTAAAAAAAAACATTAAAATATTTGCAGAAAACACGAATGACTCCTTAGAAAACTTTGGAGCAGGAAAATTGTTTGTAAATCACAGTTAAAGACCCAGGCCCTGGGAGCGCCTGAGTGGCTCAGTCGGTTGAGCCTCCGACTCTTGATTTCAGCTCAGGTCATGATCCCAGGGTCATGGGATCAAGCCCCACATCACCATGCTAAGCATGGATTGTGCTTAAGATTTTTTTTTTCTCTCTCTCTCTCTCTATGCCCCTCTCTCCTGCTCACCTGCTCTTTCTCTCTAAAATAAACCCCCAGACACACTAAAAAAGACTTAAGGCAAGAATCACCATAAGCGAAGTCACAACACAAAGTATACACTAGGAAAAAATATTGGCAACCCACATCACAAAGGTCTATCTCCCTGATCTACAAAAGGCTCCTAGGATTATAAAAGGAAGCGATAAAAAGGGGCAGAGGATATGAACACATCCCTCAGGAGAAAACATAAAATGACAAACACAGAGAAAGCTGTGTGCGATCAGAGCGGTGCACGTTAACACGGTATCGAAATCCCATTTCGCAGCCATCAGAATCCAGAATCAGGCGACGCCGTCAGGCAAGGCGTGGGGAGCAGGCGGGCGCGGCTGCCGGTGGGGGTGCAGGAGCGGAATCCGGGGGCTCCTTCCCCGGAGACCCTGCCCGTCCCCAGACCCGGCCTCCCCCCTCCCAGGGCTGGCTGCCACAGGTGCACCTGCTCACGCGTGAGACCTGGGGCGTGCGCGGCTCATCGCGGGGGCGCCGGTCGTGACAGCAAAAGGTGAGGCGGCCACGTCCTCGCTAAGGGATCGGCCAGGTGAGCGGCGGGACGCGGGCACCCGGGCGCCCCACGCGAGGCACACGCCGGGTCACGTGCGCGGGCGCGTGAGTCTCGTGAGCGCCGCGTGAGTGGGTGGCCTGCGCCACCTGCAGCGCCAGGAGGGAGGGAGACCCCCGTGTGTCCGTCTGTACCTGCCAGGCGGACGCCGCAGGAAGGACAAGGTCAGAACGAGCGTCTGCCCGCACCAGATAAAGCGCTCGGAGCCCCCGGGGAGCCCCGGCGAGAGGCGCCACCTGCCCCTCGACCAGCTGTGCGCGCGGCCCCGCCCTCCTTCCAGAGAATCACACGTGGGTAGCGCCGCGCGGCGGACTCAGGTGGCCCTGGCGGAGGTCCGGGGAACGGGAGGGACCCCGAGGCCCCGAGTTTGACTCCTCCGGGGGAAGAGGAGAGGCAGGGGCCAGGCCAACTCCAGCCCCCCCCCCCCCCGAGGGGGCACCCTGGCCCCGGAAAGGTGGGGGTTGGACCTCGGACAGCCGGGCCTGGGGGACAAGGTAGGGCGGGCGAGCCGGGCCCTCTGGGAAGTCAGCGGGGCGGGGTGTTTGCGCCCCACGCCCTGTGAGGGGGAAGCCTTTGCAGGCGGATGTTTGCTGACCCGGAACGGATGAGTCACGCGTCAGCGCAGGGCAGGCGGTGCTGGTGCTCGCGACGCCCCTTCCTCGGCCCTCCCGGCCACGACTGCCCCGGAGGATGAAGCTTGGCAGGGGAAGCCCCCCT